AATTACTTATATACTCATTAATTTGTCAATAATCCTACATAAATCAAGAAATAAAAGCGCTATATACTTTTAAAGTGTCGCGAATAAATAAACTTATTTTTGGCCTTAAATTACTACTTTTCTTACGATCACTTGACGCATACGACGTTGCCAGACCGCCGTCCATAATTTAAAAAAACAGGTCGCCCGTAGCGATCAAAAGTTTGGCCACCCCTGCTCCGGATCGTTACACCCTCGGACGTGGCGAGACACATTGCTAGGCAGTCTCCCATCCCCGCCCCCTCTGGACATCTGTCTACCAGATTTGAATACTTTCCCCGCGGAACACGTTGCGGTCCTCCCGAGATCATAACAATCGTGGGAGTCGTCTCGGCGAGGGCTAGAAAGGTAAACAAATGGGATTCGCCTTCTTGCGGCGACCGCGTTAGGGTGTACGAGTCAAGTGGTTTCAGTGGCAATGTTGTGAAAACAGTTTGCCTCTTCACAGTTTCGGAAGAAATCGTTCGAGTTGGTTAGGCTTGTTAGGCTGGCGTTGTGAAATTGTATACAGTTAACCCTTGATTTTTTTTTTAAGTTGCTCGACTCGAGTCGACGCGCGTTCAGCGCTCACGCGCCCTGCAGATGGGCCGCAAGGGCCGTCTTACCTGAAAAACGAACAAAACCGTAAAACATACGAAGCACCCATTTTCAATAGCATCGAAAATGCCAGACATTTACAGAAACCTGTCCTAATTACGACGTATACCACGTATGAACCAAGATCGAAGGAAAATACGCGGAAAAGCGTTCGGGACAAACGCGACGTTTCCCCCCCCCCCGGAATTCCGTAATTAAATTACGTTGGATCCCCGTAATGAAATGAAAATAAATGTTGGCACGGTCGCCAGCAAAAAGCGTCGGCGTTTCGCGGGGCGGAGCAGGAAAATGTAGTCGTTCCCGGACGCGCATAGGACGAGCCTAAAAGCGGGGGTGGTGGGAAAAGTACGTAACAATTTTTTCGCGATTATCAAGATCACGGTTGTTGTTTGTTCTTTCGCCGGTGCGTGGGAGGGGTGTGGGGTCGTTATCTGGTCGACGCAATTAACATCTGGCCGCAGAAGTTGCTCGATTTTATCTTTGTGGGACGGACAAAGGCCGGCAGGGGCCATAACAAGGTAGAAATAATACCGCGGTGTCCGAGAGGCGGGGCGTAGAGCGTGTGCAACCGTACGTCTTCGGAATAATTAAACACCTGGGTAGGTTGGCGGGCGCGCGCGCGCGCGAGCCTTTAGAGGTCGGAACGCGCGCGCGCGCGCGCGGGCTAGATTACCCTCGTAAAATCTGTCTTCTCCGGTGTGTCGGTTTGCTTAATAAATGAATGCCCGGCGTTCACTGAAAACAGTCCATCATTCGCATTGCCGGAGGAAACGAGGCCGGGGCGCCGCGCCGGGGCAGAGAGCCCCGGGAATTTAGTGCGAGCAGAAACTCTCGGAAGCCGCCGCTAGAGAAAGCCTTTGCGACCTCTCTCTCTCTCGCGTTCAATCAGACTCTATCAATAACCCTTAGAACGAACGTACTCGCCATACCGTGTCCGATTAATGTACTCGTGAATTTCGATGTACTTTACAACCTGCCCCCCGCCCGCCGATTGCCGGGGCCGCGTTACACAGTCGTTTACACGGGCCCGATCAAAATAATTCCCGGACCGCGGGCGCGCGCGCACTTCGATTCCCGAACCACTCAATTTTCAACCGGCGAAATGAAGCATTTAACGAACGCGAGTTGAATCGATCCCCCGGAATATTATCATTCCCAGCTTTCCAGAGCAAACAGCCAATGCGTTCGCGTGCAATCGCTCTGCCGCCAATTAAATGCACTGTTTGGACTATTTGTTGACAATCTTGGCTCTATGCCGTTTGATCTTTATGCTCGCTTATCAGTCGTGCTTCGGCGATACTTTCACAATTTTTTGACATGTTCTCTGCTATTTTCCTTTTTTTTAGAAGTTAGTTCGTACATCGTCTTGCGAACAAGACGGATTTTATTTCGATTGTAAGTTTTCGTAGTATTTGTAGTTTTCACGGTGGTGGTTTGTAATTTCATTGTACTCCTCTCCGTCGATTTTTTACCGTCGCGCGAACGCGACGCCAATGGACAAATTACGTTGGGTAAAGCGAGGCATATGGGGAATAATGATATTAAAATAAAATTGAAGGAGATTTCACGGTTAATGGCTTTTAAAGGTTAAAGTGATATTCGATATTAATTTGTAATAAGCCGCATCGAGGAGGGGTCGAAAGTTCGTGGTGCATACCTTTAGCCTGCCACCCTAACTGCGCGCGTCTTTTCACAGCCCCTAACCAGCAAGCTATTACCCCTGGGAGAAAAGTATTCGAACACCTTTTAAAACGCAATAACTTCTGTAAAACCGAATTAAATGGCTTGCATTTTTTTTTTAATGTTGAAAGGACTTGTTCACTGTACAATGACTGACTTTTTGTCAGGGGGTTGTATATAGCAACTTCACTTTAACAACTTCACTTTAGCAACTTCACTTTAGCAACTTCATTTTAGGAATTTCATTTTAACACACAATCAAATAATAATAATTTGTCTCGAATTACTACCTCAAAGAGTGTTTCACACAGTCGAACGTCTCACCCGGTACCGAGAATCACTCGGAGAAACCACGATGGAACCCAGAAGTTCCGATTTCCCGATGATTGATCAGTTGGCGAAGAGTCGCTCGCAGAAAGGTCTTTTCGTCGGCCGGCGAGCGAGACCCGACTTTCTTATCTTCTTTCCCATTCCTCGGTGGTAACGTTCGAAGTTCCGCCCACCTGAAGTTTCGTGGTGTCGCGGTTCCGTTCCAGTTTCGAAGACAAACGATCCTTTGGTTCTTCGAGTGTCCTCCGCGCGCGCGCGCGCGCCCACAGACGCACACACAGAGAAACAACTTCGGAACATGGTTATGTCACAGGTCGATAGCGAGAAAAACTTGAACGCTGCAAAGAAGTGACCCGCGAAGATATTGCAGCTCAAAGAACAGTTAATATATACAAGATATCCCAAAATTATTGTACAAGCGGGAAATGAGGGGTTCCTGAGGTCATTTCAAGTAACTTTTTCCTTTACAGAAATTTTCTCCGAGGCACCGTTCACGAGTTATTAACGAAAAACACTGTCCAATCGGAGAGCGAGTGCGGCCGGCGCTTCGCCCTCGCGGCCAATGCCGCGTCGCGCCGGCCGTCTGACGCGACGGCAGTGGTCGCGAGGGCGGGGCGTCGGCCGTACGCGATCGCTCATTGATNGATGATTGATCAGTTGGCGAAGAGTCGCTCGCAGAAAGGTCTTTTCGTCGGCCGGCGAGCGAGACCCGACTTTCTTATCTTCTTTCCCATTCCTCGGTGGTAACGTTCGAAGTTCCGCCCACCTGAAGTTTCGTGGTGTCGCGGTTCCGTTCCAGTTTCGAAGACAAACGATCCTTTGGTTCTTCGAGTGTCCTCCGCGCGCGCGCGCGCGCCCACAGACGCACACACAGAGAAACAACTTCGGAACATGGTTATGTCACAGGTCGATAGCGAGAAAAACTTGAACGCTGCAAAGAAGTGACCCGCGAAGATATTGCAGCTCAAAGAACAGTTAATATATACAAGATATCCCAAAATTATTGTACAAGCGGGAAATGAGGGGTTCCTGAGGTCATTTCAAGTAACTTTTTCCTTTACAGAAATTTTCTCCGAGGCACCGTTCACGAGTTATTAACGAAAAACACTGTCCAATCGGAGAGCGAGTGCGGCCGGCGCTTCGCCCTCGCGGCCAATGCCGCGTCGCGCCGGCCGTCTGACGCGACGGCAGTGGTCGCGAGGGCGGGGCGTCGGCCGTACGCGATCGCTCATTGATCAGTGTTTTTCGTTAATAACTCGTAAACGAAGCGGCGGAGCGCATTTTCGCTAAGGAAAAAGTTACTGCAAATGACGTCAGGAATCCCTCATTTCTCGCTTGTACAATAATTTTAGGATATCCTTTATAAGCTAGATGAAGCCGTTTCTATGCTAGAAGATGTTGAAGCAGTGACTTCGTGTCCACAGTAAGGATTTTTACTATTTGATAGCAGCAATATTCAATCATTGAATATTGAAGGGACGAGCTCTGCACTCAGCCTGTTTGTACTCCGTTGCACTATCTTCAGAGTGTCCAAGGACAGTCTCCTCGATGTTAATTGTCAAAAGGAACTGTCTCCTGTATTATCAAAAAACCAATTAGTATGAATGAACACGAGACGTACCCTCGTGTCTACGATTTTTCGTTGCTCCCCCGAAAAAGATCGGACGAGAGTTTGCCAGAGCCTCTTAGCCGCTCCATTGAGGGAGTCGTTGCCCGGTCTGCACCGCTTCGAAGGCGAAGCTGGACTTTCGAGAACCCGATCGAAGAACACCGCGGTCCCTCGATACCGATCGCGAACGGTTTCGCTGTAAATCGTTCGAAAATCGCCGGATTCCGGCGCAGCGAAGAGACGCCTCGGCGAACCGGTATCGCGTTCGTTCCGTGAAAATTCATCGCGCCGAGTTAAATTGAAACGGTCCGGCCCGGAAAGCGGCTTACGGGACGCATAACTCGCGGATAGATACCCAGCCGCGGGGACCCCCTTTGTTCCCCTTAATAGAAAGTTTTTTGTTTCGTTGTTTGCCGTGCCGCGCGCAACATAGAAAAAATGTTGCGTATCGCCAGTTTTCCGGTCCCTTCGGCCTCGTAACCGGAGCCGGAGCGGCGCGGTGCAGCGCCAGGAAAAAGCTTCTCTTTGTTCTGGCCGAATTTTTTACGGAACGATTTGCGCCAACGGAATGGAATGCGCGAGACGCTCTCGCTCGCTTTCGATTATTTACGCGGTAGCCTAGGCCAAAAGTGGCCGATGAACCGTGTGCCCCGCCGCTGTCGAGTCTCGCACGACGATCGATTTTACCATCCACGATGTCGGATCGATCCACTCTGAACCGATCTCCTCCGCTTTTCTGTTTCAGAACATTCCCTTGGCAAAGTGACGCTCAAGGCGCTCACCGATTTTTCGCTCCTGTCTAAGCTAAGGGTAAGTCTCGGCACGCTCAGTTTCCACGAAGTCTTTCTCTGCCGCGTCCATAAATTAGCTTCTTCGGGCCGAAGACATTAAGCCTTCTCGCGCTCGAAGAATTTTCTAGGATCGTCTCGCGTCGACCGTTTTTATCCGGGAAGTGATAAACAACGATCCGAGTAAAATATGAAGTGATCCAGCACCCTGGAAATAAACAGTGTTTAGATTTAATAGATCGAAATATAATTTGTCGCGAGATTATATTAGTGCAGATTTTATACTACAACATTTTTCAATCTTGAGAGTACGATAATTAATCTTGATAATTAATCTTGTGTTCCCTGAGAGTACGAAGTATTGCAGAGTATGTCATTCCAAGTAATAGAAAAATTAAAAGAAAGGGTTATGGTCACTGTATGGTGAACTAGTCTTACTAACATCTTTAAAAAAATTGAGCAATTTCGTTCGATGTGAAGAGAGTTATTCTGTTTCAAAAGCTATCCGAATATTAAAACAAGTCATTGTATTTTACGAAAAGATCTAGTTAAATCTCATGAACGCAGAATATTCGCGCACAGTCGGATTCGATCAACTTCTATTATCAACGTTTAGCTTACTATAGAGATTTCTCCCGAAAATACCGAATTTCGGGTTGCTCTAGTTTTCCTGTATTAGACCTACGTCTACGTATTAGCCTCCGATGCCTTCGAATCGTGGCATGTGTCCTCCGAATTGCCTTCGAATCATGTCACGTGTCCTCCGAATTGCCTTCGAATCGTGTCACGTGGTCTACGAATTGCCTTCGATTTGTGTCACGTGGTCTCCGAATTGCCTTCGAATCGTGTCATCGAGTTGCCTTCGAGTTGCGTTCGAATAGTGTCATGTAGCCTTCGAATTGCCTTTGAATAGTGTCATGTGCCCTCTCAATTGCCTTCGAATAGTGTCATGTGCCCCCCGAATTGCCTAGGTACACGTCATGTGGTCTCTGAATTGCCTCCGAATCGAGTCATGTGCCCTCCAAATTGCCTTCGAATCGTGTCATATGGTCTCCGAATTGCCTTCGAATCGTGGCAAAAAAATTAGAAATAAAACAGTTAAGTCGTCGCTTTCATTCTAGCATTGCTACGTATTCATATTAATGTACACCGTGATGCTGGCCGCTGCCATTTCTATAAAACCTCTCCGCGAGGCCCGAAGAATCGCGACTTAGTATTCTCAGATCTGCCGGTTTCACTTCCGATCTCCGCACATTTCCGGGAGAAATGACCGTCTATTTTAAGTTCAGAATCCGGAGAGCATGAAAAGTTAGCTTGTTGTAGTCGGCGTATCGAATCAGGCCAAGAATCGGATGTCTTTCGAACTTCGACCCGGCAATCGCAGAAATACCTGGCGTTTTTGCGTTAGCGCGCGCGCGCGCCACGCCGGCGGAAATCAAAAGTTTCGATTTGTTTGAAGAAGTTCGGCCCACTGCCGAACGGTTTCCTTAGCCCGGAACGATTAAGTCGATAAATTTCGAAGTTCCCGTGGCACATAGCCACGACCGGATCCGCGTCGGTATTTGTATTTCGTTCTACTTTGCCGCGTTCCGCTTCCGACCTTCGGAGCTCTCTTCGCTCCGCGATGCAAGTTGCCTCGGCGAACCGTTTCCCAGTTGTAAACCAATTGTAAAAAAATTGCAATTCTACCGCGGCTACTTCTGCGGAACGCTGTTCACGGACGCTGGAACACGGTCCATTCGGAAACAGGCGAAACGACACGCGTTTCGGCTGGAAATCCAGCCTGGTCGGCGCCATTGCATCGGCAACGCTAGCCTCCTTAAACTCCGTGCCCTATGAAAAATTCATAGGCGAGCGTGGTGTAAAACCATTTGAATAGAAATCAGGCCTCGCCGGAGCATAGAAAACGTCCGCGGGGACCGTTAATTAATCATTCACGGTTTGCGGCAGATTGCGCAAGATCTCTCTTTCGAATCGCATAAATGTAAATAGGGATTAAATTGTTAATGCTCGAACAAAAGCTCGTAAGTCATATACGAGCGGCGGCGAAAGAGCACGGCCGGCACGCAACAATGGCGCGCTAATCTAATGGCTGCAGCCGAACGCATGAAACTTTAAATATGCAAACGCGTTCCGCCGACTGCGCGGCCCATAATGAGCACCTCTTCACCGTTGAATATTCAATTGTCATAAATAGGAAGGAAATTAGAAGTGCTCGCGATAATTCGTACTTGGTTAGAACACCGAGTGGACACCGTGGCGCACGATACATATACGTATACACGCGGATCTGCGCGCACACACACACATATATGGAACACAATCGCGTGCAAAACGCGAGTATCGGAGCCGCCGTTGAACAGTTATCCGCGCCGGCGGATATTATCGCGAAGCGTTTTCGGGGAAAATACGCGCGGATTCGACGATCGTATCTCAAGTTTCCGGGGCAGATATTACGGCGAACGTAGAGAGAGGGGGAGGGAGAAGGGGGGAAGATGCAGTCTCGTCGCAGAAGCGATCGGTGAAAAGTAATCCGAGAAATAATTCCGGGCCGATCCCTGCAGGATCCGGATCAACGAGCGAGACCTCGTCGATACACTCGTCTCCGGAATATTTCCGGGAATCAGAAGTTTCTTATTTGCGAGCTCTGTGGGGCCCCTGATAGACCGGCGCGCACCGCCTTAACCGTGATGTTGAAAGATCAAAGGATTCCGCGGAAAGAAAAAAAGCCGAGCGAGCCTCTCCGCCGCAGACGCGCGCGCGCGCGGCGGCGTTCGTGTCACGGCTCTGTGAAAAATAAATTTCGCTTCTAGCCCTTCCCCCCCCCCCCCACTCGTTACGGAAAAAAGAGGAATATACCAGGTCCCTTCAAGACGCGACCGAAAGTTTCTACGGTGCACGCGGTTAGAGGGGAATAATTAAGGGAGCGGAAAATAAATCGCGACGAAATTCGCTGCCGCCCGACGAGTCGACGCTGAACGAGTTCGCGTGGAATTAAGAAATACGGTAAATTCTTAGAAATTAGTGGTCAGATTTTGCGAAGAAATGGACGATTTGGGGAGAAGAGATACGATTACGGTAATGTCTCCCTAATTCGTTATAGTTGTTGACAATTCGTGACTATAAAAATGAACCATAAGGCTCGAATTGTCCATTTCTGTGGACAATTTGAGCGTCAATTGAAGAGACGTTACTGTATTACCTCGGTTATAAATCTATTGCAACAATGTCTCCCTAACTGACGCTCCAATTGACGCTCGGATTGCGCACAAAAATGGACAATTTGGGAAAGTGAGACACGATTGTTCGAGCCTTGCGGCTCGTTTTCATAGTAATCGATTGTCAAAAATTATAAAAACAAGCTACAACGTTATTTATAATCGTCCCTCATCTTCTCAAATTGTCCACTTTTGCGTACAAGTTGCGCGTCAATTAGGCAGAATTTACTGTACACTCGTCCAAACACAGCCAACTTATTTAAGATCTAGGAATTTGATATTCTCTGCCGGTCGCAGTAAGTTCTAATAAATATCTATACAGGGTGTCCCAAAAATGTCTCGCAATCCGAAAATGGCGGGTCCCTCGGATCATTTGAGGCAACTTCTTCCTTTACAAAAATGTCCTCCGAGGCACCGTTAACGAGTTATTAACGAAAAACAGTGACCAATAAGAATCGAGTACGGTTGACGCGAGGCGGCCCAGCCAACCAGCGCGCGAAGTCCAGTTCCGCTCATTGGCTCGGTCGCCTCGCACCAGCTCAGCTGGGATTCGACCGCTCGACCGCTGAGCTCGCCTCTCATTGGTCACTGTTTTTCGTTAATAACTCGTTAACGGTACCTCGGAGAACATTTTTGTGAAGGAAAAAGTTGCTTCAAATGACCCGAGGAACCCGCCACTTTCGGATTGCGAGACATTTTTGGAACACCAATTGTATACATAATTGGCAGCTGTTGAAGAACAAGGATCGTCGAAACAATTAGAAATTCCGATCTTAATACGCTTCGCGCAAACAATAAAAAACGTGATCGTAAGCGGTAACGGTCACTTGTTCCAAGGATACGCTGCAATTTACACTCGTGGCTCGGTATCTTTAGGAAAATAAATCCTCCCGCGGGCGCGCGCGCGGCTATGAACTTTAGGATTAATAAAAGCAGATACCTATCCAGTGATTTACGGCCGCGCGGTATATATCTCGCGCGGACGACTTAACTCGCTCGGCATTTCTGCTCGGCGGCGAGAGCGTTCCAGCCGTCTCGGCTGCCTTTTTACCATCGGGACGAGGTTGGGAGTCCTTTATTTCGAGTGATACACACGAGCCGTTTCCTCTCGACTCGCGAGACCCCGCGGGGAGGGCGGGGGGCGGCTCGCGGAACTAAGAACAGTTCCGGCGTTGTGCTTTGTTATCGACGCGCGGCATGATTGAGACGCGCTTCTGTGATTCCCGTTTCTGTCTACGCAACTGTAAACACGCTCGTGATACAATAAAGTCCGCGGATGTCGCGAAAGGGGTATAGAGGGGATTGGGAGGCGGAACGCGAGCCGCGGGTCCCGTCGCGAGGCTCGTATTTATTATCGGATCGCCGAGATTACGCGCCGAATCGGAGACGATCCGTCGGAACGGAGCTATTGTTTCGCCAAAAAAGGAATAAAGGAGGAGAAAAAGAAGAAGAAGAAGAAGAAGCGTGTCCACGTTCCGATAAATCGGGAAGCGCGCCGCTCGCTTCTCTCGAGACGATCGTTTCACGCTGGCGGAGGCGAACAGGTCCGAGTGCGTTTGTTTACGAGCGCGGGGGAACTTCCTCGATATTGTGTCGGAGTGCTCCGAGAAACACGATTTTTTTACGCGTACGTTGGTCGACGAACACGCGAGAGACTGTTTTGCAAGCGGCGAGAAAAATGCGCGAATGTTTTCGATCGAAAATCGCGCGTCGTTTTACGCGTTTAACGCGCCGAAACGAGTATAGATCGAATGCGAAGCGTCGGAAGCGTTTAACCGTTTGCGTACCAGATGGTTCTGAAAGA